TGTTTTACTCCCTATTTTCTTTTTTTTGATTTAGTAGCCCAAAATTCTTTTAAAACCTCCGTATAAGTCGCTGGTAAAGCCGTGCCAGCTTAAGGGGACAACTCTTCACTCTATTAGCCAAATGTAATCTGTGAAGCCTGCAGAGGATAATTAAGCAGTCTTCAAAATGAAGTTGATTTAATCTTAATGATCTTCCCTTACTAAAATCTTTAAAAAGTAGAGCAATGGTATTCTCTGGCTATTTAAGTGGAAATGCTTTGTGGGGAATTTCTGAAACTATTCAGTAAACATATGGGAATTTTCTGTTGCTGTTTAAAAGTTTAATAATTCACCTGTGGGTCGGTTATGTTATATTTTGTTCTGTGTTGTGTGTTCAGCAAACATTTAACTTAACAAAAGTACAGAGGCACCTTCAGAAAAAAACACACTTAGGGTAATTGGTGGAGAAGGCTGTACAATGTATGTTTAGTAACTGTGCCAGTTCTTAGTATGAGGTGAGTGATTACACACATATAAAGTGCATGCCACTGCAGGATCTGTAAGGCAAATGTGAACTATCTTTGGTCATTATTTAATTTGGAGTTTCTCTTGAAAGTACCTTTTCTATAATTTAAAGTGGTCTAATTGTCAGAAATCACGACTGTAATCAGTCATTGTCTTTACCTCGAGCTTTTACTGAAGTCTGGCTCCAAGATCAGTTCAGCGAAGCCAGAACCTCACCCCATGTTACTGTTGTTTTTAAAACTGTCAAAGAGAAAAGATGAAGTTACTTAACGGAAAAGATGTAATGGAAAGAACCAAATGGAAATACTAAAATCTGTAGAGTAGAAACACTGTTTAAATGATGCATACTTTATTTTTAGTTCTCTGCCTACGAGTTCCCGTATTCGAATCCTCCGAATGCAAGACCCTGAAAGAGGCCAAAAAACACTGAATTTCCAAAAGAGGAATGACAAAGAGGAAGATCAATAAATATCTCTGTGTATGAATGTGGCATACTATTGAGGATAAACGTGTAATGATGTGTGCAAAGTTATTGTTCCCTGATGCTGCGTAAGAGGCTCTTCTGTTAGATACTCTCAGGAAAAGCAGAGGTTCCTGTATTTTTTTTATTTTTTAATTTTTTTTTAAGAATTACTGTGTATGTACAGACCAAGAACAAGCACAGCTTTGATGATGAGCAAATCCTGAATGTTCAGTTGATATTTTTAACTGTCAACTAGTAGAATTTTTTTATCAGTTGTTCTGTTTTTTCTTCTGGAAAAGATGAAATATATTTTGTATATCTATGGAGTAATATTTTAATAAACAGTGAGCATTGATACTTGTGGTAATGTTTTAGTGTCTTTACACACTTAATATTAGCATTAAGTTAAAAATGTTTTCTTCCTAGCTTTAATTTATTTCTTAAATGTGTGCTAACTAATACATGCAGTAAAACACGTGTTTTGCTTTTTTTCCAGTGGAATCACAGGAGCTGAACATGAAAAACTATTAGTGCTTAGAGTATGTACTTTCTTAATTAGCGAAGTGAAGCATTTATTTGCATTATATTCTCTGGGCAGGAAAAAAAGTGCTTTTATTTCTTCCTGAAGAGTTTATAGGGAAGAGTTTCAGCTTCTTTGGACACAGAATTATAGACTGGTTTGGGTTGGAAGGGACCTTACAGACCATCTAGTTCCCCCCCCCGCCTGCCATGGGCAGGGACACCTTCCGCTAGACCAGGTTGCTCAGAGCCCCACACAGCCTGGCCTTGAGTTTACAAAACCTGGCAAACTGTGGCTTAATAAACTTAGATTCTTAATTCCAGAAAGCTAAGCTCTTGCACAGTGTGAGTTTGCAGGTATAGGCTGAGTCTGTATATATTCATGATGTTAGCACAAACTGAAGTGACAGAAGTCTTTCCAATATAGAGGAATGATGTGGAATAAGAATTTTGCGAAATAATACAGTAACTTTTCACAGAATCACAGAATGTTCGGGGTTGGAAGGGACCTCTGTGGGTCATCTAGTCCAACACCCCTGCTGAAGCAGGGTCAGCATTGTAGGCCTGCGTTTTGTTGGCTGTCCCCACCTCCAGCAGGACTATACTAGAATAGTTACGATAAAATAAACTTGCTTTGTTTAAATAATACCAGTGTTTATTGGGGATAAGAGGGAGAAAGGATGAGATTTTTCAGACTGCCCCAAATTAACTTTTTTTTCTCTTCTCCTTTCTCCGGGAACTTGAAATTGTTGGGAGCTCTTCACAAACAATCACTTTTTAGAGTTCAGCCATACATAAGACATACTTTTTTTTTTTTTTTGCTGTTAGGGGGATACAAAAGCCATTGAGACTATTCAGAGAACAGTTCTCCAGTTTCTACAGCTGCTTACCAAATAGTGATTCCTTAATAAAACCTCACTGCACTCAGGTTTTAACTTGGCTTCATAGCCAAATTTGTTTTCAGCTGCCGCACGTTATTGTGTGTTCTTTAATGTTGTTTAGTTTGCACAGAAGTGTGTATTACACTTGTAGGTATATCTAAAATATGGAAGCTAGCACAGGATTGAAGGACACACTGGGAAAGCCAACTGCAGTTCTAGTGCATTCTGACTTTGGGAATGAAGTCTAGCAATCTTTTGAAGGCTTCAGATGTTCACTGCTGAAAGCCCAGGGTAATGGGCCAGCAGACTTCTGGCAGCCGTGAGGAGGCCCCTGGCAAAACAAGGCCTGGCTTTTTGTTGAGCTGCGTGGCAGAAGAGACAGACAGCTGTCATGAACTGAGGTGGTGAGGTTCTGGCTGGGTAAACCGGAGGGGGAGGGAGTGTTCGTGGTGAAGGTAGGAGGCACTTGAGCATGTTGTCCTCACAAGCTGTAGAACCACCACCCCTGGAGGCTTTTGGGATCTGAACAGGCTGCTGCACCTCCTTCTAGGAGGAGGTTGGACAAGAGACCTCTGGAGGTCCCTGCCATACCAAACAATTCCATAATCCTGTGGTCTGATGGAACATGTATTGAAGGTACTTACAACTTGTTTAGGACTATGTGAAATTACCAGGCAGAGGGTGGGGATGAGACACTACAACGTGCGTGCTTGGCAAAACCTGTCTGGAACACAAGCCCAGTTTGTACTGGGAGTCCTTGATACCGTTACATGATCATGAACCACACGTTCACTTTGACTCAATTTTTATGGGGAAGCTAGGATATGTTTCAGACCCTTTTACAATATGAAATTACAGAATGGCATAGCATTATTTCCTCCTGATTTCCTTCAGCATCTAAAAAATAAACCATGAATGCAGAGGCAGGAGAGAGAAAAGCGTTTATCTTCATTAGTACTTTTATAATGAGTTGTGTGGAGAAAAGAGCTTAAGGAAAATTGCCACATTCCTACTGAGCTTCAGCTTTCTCCCAGGTTTTCTGTAGACTTACTTGAAATATTGGAGCAGTTGGCAACAATTCTGGTCTTTGGCTGAAATCAATACATTGTATTCACTCTAATCTACTCCTGTACATGATGCAAATGTGTGCCTGGCTGTATCGTTAATATATGCAACTGTTTTCATGGTAGAGGATTAGTTCTGAATAAACAATTACTGAAGCCCTTGCTTGGACGCGCTTATTTTTGCAGTGATCCCACTAAGGTCTCGAAACTATGTCGTTCTTGATACTTTAAATCCAGAGTTTACCAAAACCGCGTTGCAGTGCTGCTGGCGCGTTGGGTGCCGGTGTGCGCGCCCGTGGCCCTTCCGCGTGGCAGCGCATTGCGTAGCGCTGCAGCAGAGCAAACGGAGCCCGTCCAGCCGCCTGAATTTGAGGCGCAGGGGGACACGGACTGAGGTCCTGCTGCTCTGACATATGTGTGTGAGCCAGGGAGGCAGAAACGCCCAGGAATATTCAACATCTTCTCTACAGCTGATAATCCTAAGTGGAAACAGTGGACATAGTGCTCTCAGAAGTACGTAACCTTTTCAGAATGTGTGTTTTATTTGTAAGTTACAACCAAACGTACAAAGTATACCACTCTTATTTTCTAGGGCTGTCACCAGTGTAGCCTAACTAAAATCCTGGTGTTAAAAAATGTAGTTGAAATTTCTGCCTTTTGCTGTTTGTTTGGACTCCGAAGAAACTGAAATATGAGAGGATGGCTGTGGTTGTGGCAACAACTGATTCTGTGTTTGGCCACCGTGTTTGTTAGCAAAATATGTGAAACTGTTTTGTTTGTGGGTTTTTTCCCCCTTCGATTTTGAGATGATCTTCACTTTTAAAATTTGAAAATACAGAGAATGGTTTGGTTTGTGTCGTGTTTCATTGTCTGATTTTTAGCTGTTAAAAGTACCATCTTGTTTCTTCATAAGGCAAAGAAGAAATACCAAACATGCAATTGTAAGATGTTTGGACTTTTTTTTGTAATCCTGTGAGCAAACAACTGTTTAAAGCAACTGGGAAACGCGGTGAAGGGAAGATTTTTATCTGGGATTTCGGCAGTGGGCTAGCTCTCCGTGCTTTCCCAGGGCTGCGCGGAACTCGCACTTGCCACAGTATAAACTTGCCTGGTGCCCATAGATTTGAGGGAGAAGGTGCTTCTCTTCAGTATCCCTTCTCAGTCATCATACTCTATGGTGTATTTATCTGTCATGGTTTTTGACAACATGTCTGTTTAAACTACCCCAGGTTTGATACGGTGCCAGATGATAAGAGGAAAGACTCTAACTCAAGGAGGGAAAAACATTAACGACCAGGTTTAGGCCAAGCAAATGAACTGTATTTGACTTCCAGCTAGCTTGAGGAGGGAGCTCCGTTAGCACAGGTCTCGTAGGCATGCTGTTAAATCGCAGCAGTAGCATCTTAGAGGATAAACTGCTGCTCTGCTGATAAATACAAGAACTACAACTTTTGGTTTCGTATAATTGGATTCTTCGAGTGAGTGAGTGAGTGCAAAGCAGTCATCTTCATACTTTCATAACGAAATATGTATTTCCCAGTAGTACAGTGACAGATAATTAAATGAGATTGAACTTCTTTTTTCTATTACTTTGCTGAAGACATGAAATAAGAATTAGGGGAAAAGGTCAAATGTTATAAATTTATTTTGGGACATATATATTGCAACCTCTGTGGAAGCTTTTGAAAATTCAGGCAAAGATCAATACACTTCCAATAAAACCTTTAAACTTTAAATAAAACAATATTTTAAACATTATATATATATTTATATATACTTTTAATTAAAGGGATCATTTTAGCAGGATTTTCTTTTTTTAATACTGCATTCCTCTGACATAGCTCTTTCTGGATTGAAGGGATGCAAATGAGGTAAGAATTAAGGCAAACCTAAAAGGCATGCAAATGAAGTACATTGATACCCACTGACGATACAAGCACATGTGTGGATCAGACTTCAGAGCTGAGGAACTGTGCCCCTCTGTCTGTCCAGTACTACTTTACAGCAGAATGGTGACATGATTTATAATAAACAGTTAACATTACCATGTGAATTCAGTGTCACTAACATTACTCAGTCTAGGAGACACAGAGCTAGCATCAGTAAAACATGAACAATAAATAATATAATTCACTGCAGCACAGGACTGCTGCACAGGCTTCAGAGGAATAGGGCTGTTATGAAATGACATTGCACACATCACGTTGTGGCAGTTTATTTTTATAGTATATACTTTTAAAATTCTTTAGCAAATGACATTCTCATGCACACAAGTGTTTCAAACACAAGAAGCAAGTCCATTTATAGGTAGTCCAAGCAAATTTTTGTGTGTGTGGAAATAGCTGCAAACTGAATGGAACATTAAACTTCTGTGCAGTCTATGACGCATTGAACACAAGCTCATTTCTGAATGTCACACTGCAGAAGTAATACAATGGAAGGATCGCTCTTTGCAGCTTCTTTGAATTCATCCAGTGTGATCTGGTCGTCTTTGTTCTTATCCATCTTACTGAAGATCTTGTCTACCCGTTGCTCAGGCGTCAGACCATCCTCATTCATCTTCATCATTATCACGGTGCCCACCATTTTGTAGATGGCCTTTGGAAAGAAAGCAAATAGAAAATCCAATATACGAATTATAACTCGATTTTTTGATGTGATCAAATTCTGGAAAGACATTCCAACAGTAAGATGATTGCCAGTTTCCCTAAAGATTTGGGGTTTTTTCTTTGGAATCTGATGTCTGTATACGTAAACCAAACAAGAATGTGTTTTACTTTCTTTGGATGTAGATTTATTTTGGTGGTTGCATTTTCCATCCTGGAATGGATTTCTGTGGCTTTCTGTTTCACAGTGCAAAACTGTTGTAACCTATTCTCTGGTCAACTGTTGGCTTTTAGTTACCCCACTGAAAGATTTCAATATAAATTCCAAATAATCAGTTTTCAAAGTCATCACCTTTTAATAGCTTTCTATGTGTACATGTGAGTAAAATCTGCTATTAACTACTGTGGCGAGTAGCCAACCGATGATGAGGGTGATAAACTTTATCCTTCCTGTTATACGCTGTGGTCATCTTAAAGCCCATCTGCGAGAGCTCACTTGAAATAGTGTGGTGTTATCCCTGTAAATTTCTGTAATCATCTCAAGTTAATCTCCAGTCAGGTTTCAGCTACTTGAGCTACAAACCAGTAATTCCATGAGTGTCAAGCGATTTTCAGATGGGCTTTGTAAATCCTTTGCTGTGCCGTTCTTATGGTTAACCCGTTGATCAGGGGAAAAAAAAAATACCTCTTGATATTTAAAAGCTTACATGTACTCTCTGCAATTCTCAGAGATTGCATCTATTAAAATGTGTGTGGTTGCCTCAGCTGGGTATGAGTCCGTATAGGATCAGTGTACGTACTGAAGGCTTTCAATGATGATACAGTACAGAGTTTGCGCGCTTAAAATCTAAAGGGTATGTGAACAAGTAATCAAACTTTACTAGTGTTCAGACATGTTATTTTTGAGTGTTATATTGATCTCACCTCTATAATTTCCAGCATTTCCACTCTTGTAATTTTACCATCACCATCCAGGTCATACATGTTGAAGGCCCAGTTCAGCTTTTGCTCAAAACTTCCTCGTGAGGTGATGGAGAGGGCACAAATGAACTCTCTGAAGTCGATGGTCCCATCTCCGTTTTTATCAAAGGTTCGGAAGGCATGTTGGGCAAACTTTGAAGCATCTCCATATGGAAAAAACTGCAAAATAAAATAATAAATAGAACTGTGGGCAACACAAGGGAGCAAGCTGTGTACCCGCCTGCAAAATGCTGAAGTGTGAGGCACTGATGAGGAGTTGCTGGTGGGTTTTGTGTGAAGCTGAAGATACACAACATAAGCTTCTGTAATAGTTACAGTGTAATGATTATTAAAAACTTATTTCTACAAATATCTCTTTGCTTACTGCCAACTGTATTACAAATATATTTAACACAAATTTAAAGCTAAATTAACTAGATGAACCTTAAAATGAAGTTGGGTGCAAATGGGAGGTTGTATGTAATGTTCTCTAACTATGAAATACAGCAACCAAGGTGCATTTGAGCAGTACTTTATTCTGCCTGGGAGTAACCAGCCCTTTACATGTCGCAACCAAGTAGATGTGTGGGCTTGTTGTTATATAACTTCATTGATTTAAAAAAAAAAATAATCCACACACAGCATAAAAAACCAGGAACATATGTTCTCTTCTGCCAACCAACATAACACAAGTACAGAAAATGAGAACTGAGATTCAGTTGAACAACACAGGACAATGCTTTTCAGGTTTAATATCCATTATTAGTGAGCACTGCAACTGACTGTAGCTTAACAAAGTATTTTAAATGACCATAACGTGTAAGTTTTCAGCTGATATTTTTTCCCCTCCAGAAATGTATGATTTAAGACATTTGAGACAGGAGTTGTTCTTTCTATGGCGCAGACTCAAGAAAGGGAGTTTTAACCCAGTGCCAAAGTCCAGTCGCAGTGGAGAGACTGTATGAAAATAAGGATTGTTTCTATATTCCCTGCCCAATTTCATGGAGCTTTTCATGCTCGTAAAATATCAAAGTGCATTACCCCCACTCTGAGAGCCACCTCCTTTTGTACCTTTTAAAATGCCAGTTCTTACTTGTTAATTATGTACGTTTGAACACAAAGGCTTCGGTGGCAGCCAAGGAAGTGGGTCTGCATTGCACGATTTTCCGTTTTCCCGTCCAGAGCTTTCACTGCAGGCTGACGTTTGCTGTGGTCAGCTGCAAAAGCTCTTGAAAAATACACTCGGATTTTGTGGAGGATCTTAGGGATCTCGCAGCACGCACAGAAATGGGCGCTATTAATTGTCTGACTAAACACAGATGTAGAATATGGCAAGCCTTCGCTGCTTTTCCTTTGAGGAGACCAAATGACCATTTGGATTCTGTGTCACGCCCCAAAAACCGCAAAGCTTAGTGCACAGCCTGCTGCTTGCCACAAATTTGTGGCCATTCGGGTCCTGTCAGGAGCCACCGCTGCATTGCCAAAGGGGTTCTAACCTGAAAGTTTCCTTTAAACTTACTGTCTTCTCTGACATCAACTTTTCAGACTCAATTCTGGCCAACATTTGCATTACTGTAACCGCTATGCAATCTCTTCTCTGGCTCAGTGGCATTATAGTCTATGCAAAATCTTCCTTAAATTTTGCCCACCGCCATCCATTCAGAATATTGCCCTGTGGTGAGTTACCCCCAAAAGGATGCGAATCGCGGTATTATCCCAGAAGAGGTATGAAGTACGTCCATCTCGCTTCCCAAGTATCTTTTCAGGAAGACATTTGAACAGGGTGTGAAGCATCAAGGGAGAGGGACGCTGTACCCATTCCAGCGGTATTTTGTCCAGGTTAACATTGCTGTTTAAGTTGCGATTTCCTTGTCTGGCTTAGTATGGGGCAGCATCCAACTGCTGCTTCTACGCCCCTTCTCCAACAGCTGGAAGGGGCATTTGGTATCGTCTCCTCCTGAAAAAGTAACTTAAGTGTCTGTCGTCAACCCAGCCCCTGTTTCTGTTTTAATAATCCAAACTGATGGACCTGTAAATACCTCGAGGTACTGCTGCAGCTCTTTTCTGTACTTTCTGGTTTTGACCTTCAAACATTTTTGGATGCTGGTATGGTAAGCATGATTGGGCTTATGAACACATGTAAAGGATTCTCGGCTACAATTCAGGACTGCAGTGACTGCAGCTATCAGACCTCGCCGAATTGCTCTTCTAGTGCAAACCTGAACCTTTTGTCAAAGCAAACAGAGTCTCTGGGCTCACAATTCTAGGTTCGGCTGCATCAGAACAAAGTTACGTGGATGCTATCCAAAACCTGAACGTTACTTGAAGGTTATTGAAAATCCTCCTCATTGCTTTCTCTTCTTTATGATCTACCTTTCCCCCAACCTCTGTATCAACTGCAGATGTTAACATAGGTGATAGTTAATTTTATGTTTGTGTGTGTGTATGTATAGATATATGTTCACTTCCACAGATCACTGGTAGGAAGTTCAGGAGCGGCTCCACCGGGACTCCACTGTCCCCCCTTTCTATTTCTTGGGAGCTTGCTGGCTGTTCAAAGCCGAAAAGACAATTAGAATAATCTCTTGCTTTTAAAATCTGTTTTAAAGTACAAATGAACTTACTGGTGGAACAAAAGAACTAAAAAAATGTTCAAAACCAAAAAGACAATTAGAATAATCTCTTGCTTTTTATATCTGTGCTGATCACTGTCCTGTGACGTATAGTTTACAAATCAAAACACTTCAAAGTCTGATAGTCTTCCAAGCGTTTCGGTTACGGGCTGCCTGTTGCTGAGGATGCAGCCCGATGCAGTATCTCTGTGGCTCTGCCACTCCCCAGTCGCTGCAACGGAAAGGCGAGAGGCAGAAGGACATGGAATCGTCCCTTTCACTGTCCAGAGAACCAAAATACATTCAGGTGCTACTCTCCTATGATCCAGACTGAGAAATGGTACAAATGAACTTACTGGCGGAACCAAAGAACTAAAAAAATGCACTGAAGAAGCTCACCTACAAAAACGGCTAAGAAGTGGTGGACACCCAGAAATACTCAAGAGCCCAAGAACGAAGCAGGGGATTAGGGGGGCGTCAGTGGCTGGAGATGCCAAAGACCACTTCTAAATTATTCTTGGGGAAACATGAACATTATCATTCAGTCTCCCACGGGAGGAGCATAAGCAAGCTGTGACCACCTCTGTGCCAGTCATACCATACGCCTTTAATGCCATGTCGCTGGGAGAACAGATTCCTTCTAATTTTTCATCACATACAAGACAACGATTTTTTCTCTTCTGAGGTGAGGAAGGCAGTGGCACTGCTCAGAGCTAAGCCTTGGCATTTGGTCCTTCAGCGACTGAAGGCACACTTCTCCAGTCTGTACCTGCTGATTGGATTATTTTTAGCTCAGAACAACTAAAAAACATTGTCTAAACTTGTTTAAAAACCTAGCTGAAGACTTCCATTGGCCTGTTTTGAAACGATTCATAAATAAGAAATGGAATAAAAGAAAAACCAAAACAATTACAAAGCAAAAGAAGCCAGCTCTGGCAAAACATCATTTGACTATTAAAATACAGTGAGGCCTTAGAAAGCTGTAACAGCTCTTTCTCCCATACAGGCACAGACTGTTAACTACTGTAGACTAGTCTGAGCCAAGTGCGGTGGGAGGCAGGGATCACTGGCAGACAAACACCCATTTTTGGCAAGGGGGATATGAGGGTGGTTTACTCTGCCCTATATGGTACTCTGCCATGAGCGCAGGGAATGCCTCAAAAACCAGTAAAGAAACACAGCTGGGATTTTCAGTGGCTGGAGCTGCTAAAATCTTCAGCCTCCTCCGCAAACCCTTCTCTGGGTGATCAATCTACACGTGAAAGCGACTCGTTCCCCTCTGCTGCAGTGGTGCTACTGAGCCGTGCACTCTGCGCACCAGCACTGCCTCCTGCTTTACTCTTTTCACCCCAAAATCAAGATAAACTGTACCTGCCTGGGATTTTTACAGCAGGCGGTTCCATGGGTGAGCAAACGCTGATCATTCCTGTGTTTCTGCTTTTCTAGTCTCATCTCTTGCATGGCCTGGGTGTTTTCTGACCAGTTAGATCAACATGCTGGTGTGTGAGGAAAGTGTCTCTACAGACAACTACCAATTAGGAAAGGAAAGAGGAAGAGAGAAAAAAAGTCCCTCTTCTTCTGCTTCTGAATTTTGGAAGCGAAGATTGTCTTGCAGATTCTTAGCTCCCAGAGTGTTTCTGGACACTTTTCTGGTATATTGGGGGCTTTCAAACGGTCCTGGAATATCTAAGTGAATAGCATCTACAAATTGTACATAACTGAAGTCTTGGGAAACTGATCAAATGCCTAGAAATATTTGGCTGCAGATGCTTTAGCATCTTTGAAGTGATGCTGCTCACAGACAACTCTGTGACCAGCTCTATTCAGATCATCTTTGGGAGGGACTTCTTGAAAAACCATGAAGCATATGCTAAAATATATGGCTAAAGATTTAGCATATGGCTAAAATACAAAGAAAAAAAACCCAAAAGCAATGCACTTCCCCAAATTCCCCAGTGATGGGGAGATCCAAAAAAGAAGGGGCTCTGCTTCACTGGTGGGGTAGCGTGGAGAGACTTTATAGACAGGCTGAGACATGCTTTGTTTTTCATGCAATGTTTTATCCTGTTTGCAATGCATTTCCATTAAAAGGGAAATTCTGCTATAAAATGGAGACCATCAGAATTAGTGTTCAGAAAGCTGGACGTGCTGCCTACAGATGCCCGGGTGACGGCTGAGTCACTGATGTAAGATCACAGCTTCCAGCACCGAGGTGGGAGCTGGAGCGCAGAATGGGAGGTGGGACAGCAGGAGGTGGTCCTGGGCTTGGAGAAGATGGAGGAGGCAGCCGCCGATTGCCCCAGGAATCGTTTCTGAATCCCCGTTCAGGGCTCAGCCCTGCCACGCTCTGCTGAGGGCTGAAGCAGCAAAGAGGAACGAGTGCAGCACAGCCAGCGCAAGGAGTACGAGCATCGTTGGGGGCCAGCACGTGGAAACAAGCCTAGTAGTTGGCTCCCATGGGAAGAACCTTATACACTTGATGCTGTTACACTTTAGGAAAGAGTTACTTACCCTTTTTGTCTACTTTGTTAGGGTTTTCTTTCCTCCCTTTAATAAGTTTGCTAGGCA